TTGCTCATGCTGGCCCCGAAACGCTTGCCACTCTTGCCGTAGACCCCAAATTGTGATCTCAGGGGGGAGCCTGACAGAGCACAGAAAGACCTAGCGACCATCGAGCAGCACTTGCGCTACTGCAAGCGCACCTCTGCCTCGTGGCCTCATTCGGCACAAGGGGGTTCCCGAACTTCAGTCCGGAACGGGTTTGGTTTGGATGATAGTGCTTGCGTCGGCTTCTGGGGTTCTGGAGGGGGGTATATAAAGCATTGTTCTGTCCATGGTAGGTTTAGGTGGCACAGTTTGGTAGTGGAAACTCGTGGCAAACCATCCCTGCATGTTCCCAAAGGCAGCAGGCCTAAGCGCAGCTGTCCAGTCTCTCATCCCTGAATTTCCAAAGTCAAACACACAACGTCACGCATCTCTGAGCTAAGGCCATGGCCACGTTGCTTGCAGGCACATTCTTGGTGGGCCCGTTATTGGAGTTGACCCACAGGCTTCGGGTTTTACGGGTTTAAGGGCTCGGGGAGGGTGTGTGGGTGGCCTGTGGCCCCCTCTCAGCTGTATGTCACACGTGTAGCGCTACGTCACGACCACATCACACGGGTACTCGGTTCGAGACCGCTTTGTTTATGAGCATCCGCAAGGACCGCTGGCTCAAATAAGGCTAGTGCTGAATCTTGGGCGCAGATGCAAAGAGCGCGCTGCATTGATCGTATTGGTTGCAGGGCTGTGCTTGAGCCGCCTACTCAACATCAAAGTATGTGGCCATCTCTAGCCCTCGACAGCTTGACCCAAGTAGCTGCCGTGGCTGAGCAGGCAAGCTTCTTGAGGGAGATGTGGAGGAACGCCCAGCTGCCAGCGGTTTTTTTCTGTGTCTAAGCCATTCAGATCACATTCGCTCTGACAATCCTCAGGGCTCAGAGCCGGGGTCTGGGGAACTTCGGGGTCTTCGCATCTCCTCAGCAGCTTCCTTCAATTGGGGCCGGGTGAAGGTCAGCAGGGGCCTTGAATGTTCTTCAGGGTTTTGGAGGGGCGCATCAAGCTCAGATAGTCAGTGCTCGGGCTTTGGGGTTTTGGTTTCTCCAAGCAATTTGCAAGCCCAGCCACACAGCCGGCACCTTACACCCCCAAAAGTTTAAACTCCTTCAACTCCTTCAACTCCTTCAACTTGAACACCCTGGAACCAACAGGGAGCCTCCCTTGACAGGAGCTCCCGGATCTGACCGAAGCGGAGGGCGTGATGGTGCGGCCCTCAGCCGAACAAGCAGTCTGCGACGGTAGCCCTGCAGGATTATGCGTCCTCACGTTTCCCCCCCTCTCGAAGAAACCTAAGATCATCGGCATGTCTGTCAACCGCTTCCCATCACAGTTTTTTGGAATCGAATCAGACATCAACCGGAGCATTGAGGAATCTAGGTCGTGCTTTGCGTTTCTCTAGGTCAGCCCAGGTTCCCCGGTCCCTGCGGGCGGTTTCTGAGGCATAGGGCTTGTTGGGCCCTGGACTACTCCGTCCTTTCGATGTCTCGGGTGTCCGTTGCTGAAATACGGACCAGCATGAGACCCATGAATATTTCGGATACGCATCACAGAGATTGAGACCTGAGCGCTTTCACCTACCTTTTCAGTCGTCGCGTGGGGTCCTCACCCTCACCCTCACCCTCACCCTCACCCTCACCCTCACCCTCACCCTCACCCTCACCCTCACCCTCACCCTCACCCTCACCCTCACCCCCACGCCCACACCCACACCCACACCCACACCCACACCCACACCCACACCCACTGCCACACCCACACCCACACCCACACCCACACCCACACTCACACTCACACTCACACTCACACTCACACTCACACTCACACTCACACTCACACTCACACTCACACTTACACTCACACCTACTTACTTACTTACTTTCGCCTGCCCCTGCGTCTGTTCGGGTCGGTGGCAGCGTGCGGTCGCCGCGGAAGATGCACAGCCCCGTCAAATTCACATAGTGCCCAGGAGAAGTACAAGCTGGACGAGGCCAGAATCTTTACAGGGATTTTGGGCAAGGTCAGGCTTCACAGGTTCACACGGCTCCCGGGTCACGGAAGCCAGGAGCAGGGCTGCAGAACGTACAACGTTGATGGACTCCGACCATCTTGACGCAGAGAACCCTGTTCTCCCCTAACACCCGAGGCCCTTCGTCAACCCCCAAGCCTGCAGGACGCGAAGTCGAAGCTCCGCGAGATTATCGAGAAAAGAGCAGCAGATGCACCACAGGCCGGGGGGTTGGAGGATGGCCTCTCGAGTTGTTAGTTGTTAGCTTTCCGGGGGGCTCTATTGCCTGATTCTATCGGATTCTATTTGTCATGACTGACAAGGACCGCTATTGCAGTCGCTGCAAGTATGCCAGTATGCTGAAACAGGTCTTGCCCTTGCCATGCTATGACTCTTCTTGCAGAAGCAGGTCCATGTTTGTCACGAACATTGTCCGTCCTTTTGAGCCGTTGCAGAGGTTCTACGATTCCTCTTTCCTAAGGCTGCTGATAGGTCTCCTTGCTTGGTCAACCTCAAGTCTACTTCTCATGACACAGGCGCTTGTGAGCAATGGTTGTCTTGACCTGGAAATGCATTGAGTTCCCTCCCGTACGTGCTCCCCATTTTTTTTTTGGGCGGTCTTGACCAAGGGTCTTCTGTCGAGGTGTGGATGTCTAAAAAGTTTGCTGTCAAAGATGTGAACTGCAGGTCCTGCAGCAGATCAAGAAACACCTGGACACTTCGGTGAACACGTCGTCCATGCTGTGCAAGATTGCTAGGCCGGCCAGCTCTGCTTTGCTTTGCCGGCTTCGAGAACGTGCCTGATGGGGAAATTTGCCCCCATGCTGGCTGAGGCCACTCATCGACCATGAGAACCTGCCGGACCCTCCCGAGAGAAGCTCCAAGGGAAAGGGCAAAGGTACTCCCGATGACCGCCGGGGCCCTGGCTGAGCACGGGCAGCTCGGGATTGCTGGGCTTGTCAACTCAAGGCTGTTCAAGCCAGGGGTTCTCCGTGGCTGTTGTGGCTACGGCTGTTGTAGTTTCCACAGACTCCGACTTGGAGTAGAATGCCCGGCTATGTTGGGGTTAAGTTTCAAGCAACTGTATTGTGAACTCACTTTTTTTGTCTTTCCCAGCTTGTTGTGGCCCCAAGGCTATCTCGATGACTCAAGCCCAAAGCCCAAACCCCAAACCCTGAAACCCTTTTGAATCATCACAGTATGCAGACCTTAACGCCCAAGCCCTAAGCTCGAACCCTGAACTGAAAGCTTAGGCCCGGACCGTGGCGACCGCGGTGACCGTGGCGACAACCGGCGCCGAGACCGGAGTAGAGACCGAGCAGGGGCCCGAGAGTGAGGGTTTCTGGAGTTTGGGGAGTTTGGGGAGTTTGAGGGTGCTTGGGGAGTTTGGGGAGTTTGGGGAGTTTGGGGAGTTTGGGGAGTTTGGGGGACTTTGGAAAGGGGTTTTGTGATCTTTGGGGGTGGGTTTTGAAGCGAGTTTGGGGTTCAAGGTTCCGGCGTTCCTGGGGTTCCAAGCGTTCGGTTGTTGACTTGAGCTGTTCTTGTTCTTGGCTTCGTAAGATCAGACTGGTTTCAGGTTCCTCTTGTCCAATCCGCAGGACAGAGACCGGGACCGCGACCGTGATCGGGATCGTGCGGAGCCTAGAATACTGCTTGATGAAGGATGCCCTTCATGTGGCTGTGGACGCTAGATGCAGGCAACTCGCGAAACAAAGAACAGATTCATGGTAATAGTAATGTTTCTCATGCGAGCTGCACAATGCTGCTGTCGGATCGAGCGCAGGAATCGTCAAGTCGACTTGTCAAGTCGATTGTCTCCTAGGTCCAAACTATTCCAAACTGCTAAGCCCTGCTGGAACCCTGGGTTGTGGTGACTTTCGAGGCCGAGATCGCAGCCGCAGCCGAAGTCGGGACCGGCGCCGGGATGACTGAGAGAGCCGAAGGCGGCGGCCAAGGAGTCGCGCAATGTCCCGGAGGCCAACGGCAAGAAGTGCCAGTGGCATCCACTGCCAAGAGCTGTCTGAAACTGCACGGCAGTGTATCATAGTGTATCATTGCAAGTAGCACCTTCCACTGGTGTTAGCTAACCAGCTGGGTGTTGTGTTGAGATGCGCTGAGTGTGTTTTCGAAAGTTGGGTTTCCACGCGTCAGCTTGGTAGCTGCGAACACCGACATGTGTCAGTAGAGGTCCAAGATCCTCCCCTTAGCGAGTGTAAAAGATCCCCCCCATGTGGCCACATCTTTTTGAGACAGCCTTGGAGCAGCTGAAGTGTTCGGCAAAGGGTGCATCCTGTGTTCCACGACGTTTCACACTTGCGTGGAGTGGTTTGCACAGTGCTCCCTTTCGTTTCCAACACTGAATTGTGGCAATATCAATAGGCAGCGTTTTGTTAAGTAACAGCGCCAAGTCGTAGTGAGCATGCCATCATATGTCGCGTGCAATAGAGATTGTGCGAGCCTACTGCAATCCTGGAGGGGGTCTAGCGGCTAGAGTCTAGCGGTTGGAATTCATGAGGCAGTGCATATTCGGGGTATTCTTGCACATGTACAACTGAGGCTCCACAAAATGCGCAGTACAAGCTGCTTTACTACGACAGCAATCCACAATCCTGGATTTGATCTCATGTGCTCGCCACCAATGATATGAAATGGCAGACAAAACTGCCACCACCGAAGCATCGTCCCGGACCACCTGCAGGGCCTGAAACACCAAGCCCTTGCTAATTGCACCGGCAAGACGCCCTAAACCATAAGCGACTATGCTTCGAACAGCTTGCAGGCGGGGGGGCAGTTCAGGACCGCTTTGGCACGCATCCCACCGGGAAGGATTCGCCATCCTCATCGCCTGCCAGTTGTAGCTAGGCAACCAGGTCGTGTGAGCGTGCGTGAAAGAAGCGTGCGGTCCAGCTGAGGTGCCCCCAAATCCTGAACCCGAGGCCCCTGCAACCTAGCTCTCGGGCCTTCCACTAAGGCAAATCAGCTTAATGTGGATGAGCTCGCCTTCCACTTGCATTGGGCACCGTCCTCAGGGTATGAGCTTCAAACTTCAAGGCGAAAACCCCAAGCCGCAAACTCTAAGCTTCAAATCCTCTATACATATGTGCGATGCCCATGCCCGGAAGCCGAACCCAGAACTGAGAATCCACGGCACTGAAGTGGCGGCTTGGTGACTCTAATCTTCGAAAACCAAACTTGACTCCCGCAAAACCTGCTGCACAGTCAAGCTCAAGCTACCATCTTTACAGTACAACGGGTTTTTGTTTTGGGTAGCATGCATGTAATGCAGGTTCGGTGTCGGCTTGGGACCGGGATGTGCGCATAGAGTTTGGCAGGCTTGGATGTGCATGTAGCATTTCTGCATTAAATGAATCCGTCCTGTTCAACTGGCAAGGTTTTGTTTCCCCCCCAGCCCACATCTGGCATCGGACTGGAGATCGGAATTTCAACGCATTACCCTGCAGTGTCATGCAGGCTTAGCTGAAGGGGCGTGTGTCACGAGCTACGGATGATGTGCATACGGAAAGAAAAGTTGTGTGAACCGTTTCGTAGTTCCGTGCGTCGCGCAGAAATGAATAGAATCTCTGGCGGTGCCAGAGAATCCGCGACGGAGCTTTCTGCTTTCGGCCCGTTGGATGGGTGTAACAGTCTGTACCTTTCATCGACCAGCTCTTTCCGAGCATTTTGGTACGTGCTACTGCAGCGTTGTGCAAGAGCATAGAAAGTGTTGATGGTCTGTCGCGGTGAAGGAGCAGCGTTCTTCTCGCTTCCCATCACAAAACATACAGCGCTTGCTCCGCTTCCAAGCCGTGCGCTTCTTTTTCATCTTGTGCCCCGCATCGAGCAATTCCCTGATCTTAGTGATCTGACCAAACAGGCTGGTGCGAGAGCAAAGTCATGACTAAGCTCAGAACTTTGAACAGTGTTTGGAACATGTTGGGTTTGAAGCCGTCCAACAAGCATGAGGAAATTCACAGCGCATTCGTGCACAGTACTAGCAGCGAAAGTTCGAGCAGTTGAATCAATCATCAGTGTTGTTACGTGCATCCGAAAGTTGTTTGCTTCTGTTGCCTGCAATGGAAAGTCCTAAGGTCCTGAATCCTGGTCATCCGTCAAGCAATGAAATTACTGAATCAAGACCGTGGTCAGATAGCGTCAAGGCCACGCGAGGGTACAAGTTCGCAGCTCGCAGCATTCGTGACCACGTTCCAGAGAGCAGTCTCCCGGACTTATGACGATTTTCAGCTCGAAGCCCAAACTCCTAGCCCGAATCGCGTTTTAACACTTTTCCCCACTGAGGTGAAGTGTCCACCTGATGCCGATGCAGTTCTCGCAATGTTGGGTGACTCGCCCGGTGGAGCAGTGCGTGCAGTTGGCTGGGCAGCGGGGGTATTCAGGCATCAGGGATCAGGTCCAATGTTCTTTCCTTTGGGATGTATTTTGGGCGGATAGTCGCTGGAAGCCCTTTGCACGTCCTTTGCAACCCCTTCTATTCTCAGCAGGTCCAGATCCAAGAGTCTGTCACCTCATGAGACTTTTCATTCTTCAGGTGCCGGGCTTCTAGACCTGGCCATCTTGCAGACAGAGGCATCCGGGGGCATGATGGTCTGCGGAAGCTCGGCTTGTTCCAGTTTCGCAGTCGTTGCCAGTCTTGCCGATGCAGGACGTGGTCCAAGCAGTGTCTCTTGGCAGCTCGCGCGGTTCTCGGTCGTAGCCTGCACATGCACTAGCAAACAGAGCAGATCACCCAGCTGATGGCATGAAATCCATTTTCCAACCTTGCACCCGATACTATGTCTTTAAGAAATGCCCGCATGGAAGAGAGAGGCTTGCACAATGGAACATGCGCATGCAAACGTCAGGGTTGTCGCAAAATCTGAGCAGCCGATTGGAAACATTTGCGGGGATTCTTCCAGTCATCTCTTCCTCGGAGAGCGACTCAGGCTTCGCATCTGCGGCACGTATACATCGTCGCTTGGGCCCGAGTCTTCGCCGTTAAGCCGTTGTAAGCCGTGTTAAGCTTCCCAGAATTTGCTCAGCAAAGCTCACTCGGCTGCAGCTTCCGGGCTCCCGCCTTGATGCTTCCCCTTCCCCCTAGATTTCAGCTCCGGCCTTGATGCGCTTCCCTCCTGCCGTGCTCCAAACTTGTTGAAAGACCCCTGGGGGCGCTTCGGCACTTCGTCCTGCAATGGGCTTCAACCCTGGAAGCCTAAATTAGGTCCCTCAGGTCCAGGAGCCGGAACCGAGGGCCATTGCAACTGGCCCAAGCCCCTAAGCTCTGAAAACCTCAAACTCCTCATGCTGCCCACCAGGGGAATGGGAAATTGAGAAAGAGCCAAGCTCACCTAAAGCCCGGCCCAACCCTCATTTTGAGGAATGTGCTGAAAGTAGTACGCCAATTCAGCTGGCAGAACCCCAGACTCGCATGAAGTGCCTTGGCTCTTGCGTGGTGTCCATGCTTGTGCAAGGCCACCTTGCCCGTGCCACAGGCCACCACCCGAATGCAATGGATATTCCATACGGGGCTAAGAACTGCAAGCCCCCTCCCCACGCACAACACACTTACAAGGAAGCACGGCCGCCCACCATGTACCAGACCACCGCAACACCAAATCGAAGATGCAGTGGTCGTGTGATGGTATGTGATGGTATGTGATGGTAGTAGTCCCATCCCCGACAACCATCCGCCATGCCTCGAGGCCCAGGCGTCGGGAGCCGAGAGCTTGCGCTTGGAGAATGTGGGGGGGAGTTTGGGTCCACACAATCCCCCCTATGCCTTGTCGGGCTTCATGTGGAGCCCGTTTCCTGGATTTTCCTGGTGGTTCAGGATCGGCAAGGAATCCTCAAAGACACGCTTTCATGCAGGCTTTGGATTCGGGGAGCTGGAACTTTGCAGCGCTGCACGTTTCAAGGTCTTGGCCAGGAATCCCCCAGAGACAATAACAGCCTTTGTCGGAAATCCCGCCCGTCCTGTATGCCATGGTATCCCTAGACCTTTCATCGCTGGGCCGACGGCTTGAGGCTTTGGACTTTACGTCTCCAGCCTGAAGGCGGGACACTGCCAGACGTCAGCCTGTCAATGTCGGTCCGAACGTGGGGAGGAGGGCTGCGCCCTTTGATCTGCCGAAGCCTGGCCCTGGCGGTGATTCGCCACTTCGGGGGCTAGCCGCTAGTGTTAGGCTAAACTCGGCTTGTATTTGCTGCAAGACCACGAAAGCCATGTCACTTGAAACAGGGCCACGGAACCCGTCTAAGGCTTTTCAGCACGCATAGCATGCAGCAGCGTGCTTCTAGCTGTCGCTTTTTGCGTTCAGTTCTGGACCACGTCATTTCTCCATATGCTGCTTCAATGCTTGCCAAAAGGGGCACCTCAAGCCATCCACGCCGTGTGGGGTCTTGTTTGGCTGCGGGCGGAGGGTACATGGGATGGACATGGGTTTCGCGAAGGAGGAACCGTTCTTTTTCAGCTGCCGACCAAAGAGGTGGCCGCGGTGAGACACTGCCCTATTGTAGGGGCAGCGTTGGGACCTCCCGGGTCTGGCAAAAGGCGTGAACTGCTTGTAAAGAGTGCACGCTGCTTGCTTAACGATGGCTGCTACGATGCTTGGCGCCCTTCTTGTGTACCCTAGGACTCCCACCTTGGGTCGTGTGCATCGTGGCTTGCGAGCGCACTGTGCGCCCTGGACCGTACCCTTTTGGTTCTTGCGTGTTGCTCTAAGCGGAGGTGATGACGTTTACGGAGCTCTGAGATGCTGGAAGGGATAGGGCCGGATAGGGCCTCAAGCACGGCACTGGTTGCAACTGCAACTCGGTCACTGACTCACCCCGTGTTTTTTAGTCCAGGCCGTGCAATTCCGGTATCATTGAAAAATCGGTGAGTTGAAGGAACAGATTTTGTTTCAGCCTTGTACTAGGTGGCTGTGACGCAAAACGGTTGCGGCTGACATCAGAACTGGCTGCACGTGGGGTGTATTCGAGTTTCTTTGCTAGGTGGTCAACTAATTCCGTGCACCCCATCTCGCACTCGCGTTAAGGCTGAAACGCAGACTTTGATGCTTTTGGTTGACGGCGGAGGAGCATTGCGTCCCCAGCCCATTGATCTCTTTCAACCCTTTCCTCGCCATGTGCCTGTCCAGGCTCAGGAAGCCCCTGGCGAAGTTCTTCGCTCTCCATGCGGCGAGGGCCCAAGGGAGAGATGTCGGCAGGGTTTGGAGACTCATTGGGAAGAAGTTGATGCGAAAAAACTACCTTACGCGAAAGCAGGAATGGTCTACTTGGTTGATTATTCGTTTGTGCCCGGCTTCTTTTTCGTGGATTGCAGTTTGCCTAGTGTTTGTGAATGTTTGTGAAGGTCCGAGTAAAGGTCATGGTGTCCTTTCAAACCCTTCGTATACTGTGTGCCGAACGTTTCACAAAACAGCAGGCTATTGTGATTGAAACGAGGCCTGGAAACAAGTGGACAACAAGGCTTCCCGCCCACAAAGCAGCGAACCGCTAACATGTCCGTAAACCCCTGTTCTGGAGTGTCAGAAGGCGTGCTTCACAACTGCGTTGGGGCGCAGCTGGCGCTGCCGCAGAGCCCAGCTGCACAAAACAGTTCGGTAGGTTCCGGGTTTGTTTAGGGCGCTTCTTAGGGGTTTAGGGTTCAGATCAGGCATGCTCAGGCGCCTTCATGGTGTATTGGGACCATGAATACCCCCCTCTGAGGCACATGCTGGGTCAGCACCGCGACTGGCAAGCGCTTGGCAGCGGGCCCGGTGGCTCGCGTGATCGTGGCTTAGCCTGTGAAGCCGAAGCCATCCCAACATCCCCGTGCCCAAAGCCCTTGTAAGTTGCGTACGTGTTTGCGTGTACTTGTACATGTTTGCACATGTTACTCGTTCATGAATGCAGAATTGGCAGACACCTGCACGTCCCAAATTGCTGGAGGCTCTGAATTTGCCCTTTTTTCTCGCTTTGCCTCCCTCCTTTGCCTCCTTTACCTCCCTTTGCCTCCTTTGCCTCCTTTGCCTCCTTTGCCTCCTTTGCCTCCTTTGCCTCCTTTGCCTTCTTTGCCTCCTCTAAGGTGGCCTTTACCTGCGGCCCTTCTCGAGCCTGGAGGCGGCGAAATCAGATGCGGCCTCGGACCCTGGGTCTGGTAAAGAAGGCCCAACTTAACTTAACATTGTCAACGTGCTTTGAGCCATGCGTTTCAGGGATTTTCAGGGTTTTTTTAAGTTCAGGGCTTGGGATTTCGGGTGTTGGTTGGCCATGCAAGGCAAGGAGCTTCGAGGCTCAGCATTGAGGGCACGAGGTTTCGCGACGTGGGGCGATGGCGCAAAGTGTCGAGAACGGGGGAGAACGGTGTGGGCGGAGGCGGAGGCCTAAAGCTTGCTGCGCTCGTAGTTCGGAAGGACCAGAAACGCTGAGGACTTCCGCCGTCACGCCCTCCTACGTACTCCAAAGTGCACTCGCGCTCACAAGAGAGACATCCCGGCAGACCGCTGTGCACTGCAAGGGCATAAAGAGCTTCGGTGCCTTCGAGACCATCACGGGGTATGTGCGCACAAAGCATCGGCACATGTCCATCCACAGCACAAGGAGCCGTTCCCTGTCGGGGGGGTTAGTGCGCTTAAGGCAAGACTAGGCCTCAACCGAGATCAACTGCGTGTCTAACGTGGGACTCAAGTGGACTGTGCCGCAATCTGGGGCAAGCGGCGGGCAAGGCTTTAGGGTGCTGTCAAAAGGAAACTGGCTAGTTTTATGGCCGCATTGTGGGATTCAGGGTTTGGGAGAGGCACATGTTCTCCAATCATGTGGTGCTTTGGCATGGCCCTCCGGCAGCATCTCGCAAACCCGCAGAACTTGGACAGCACGGCCCCCGTGTGGAAAGTTTCCTCTGTGAGAAGCGCTCGCTTCCGAGTCTTCCGAGGCCATAGCTTCCGGGCGCGTGGAGATGGTGCTGTGGGAGAAGTACCTGGCCAGATTCCAAGACCTCCTTGATCTCCCTGCCAGAGTTCAGCTAGCTCATGTTATTTGAAACAGTTTCACAAAGATCCAAAGCAACTTGAGCTCATGAGAAAACTCACGTAGAGAACAAGGGCCAGCTAGGAAAGTATGTGGTCGCAGAAGCACCCCTCGGTGGGCTTTGTAGACGTGGCCTTTGGACTTCATGGCGGAAACAACTCCTGCCCAGGGCCTCTAGGACATCTTTTGTGTGGAATGAGGCGTACGATTGCGTGGCGTCCGGCGAGTGGGTGGAAGTGTGGCAGGTGGACGCAGTTGTCAAAAGACCATTGTACCAGGGCTTTGCGTCGGGTTGTTGGAGTTTCTGATGGTGTCAAAAGCTTCAAGATCTCCTGTCTGTGACACTGGTCCAGGCAGAGTTGCCATGGTCCTCCTCGCTGTTCACAGCCACGAAGGATGCCACGTACGCCAAGGCGGGGCGGGGGGGGGGTTGGGGGGGGGCTTCGCATGGGTTTCCGTCCGGCGATCGTTCAAATGAGAGCTGTTCTTTGAATCACCTCATAGGTAACTTGTGCATGATAATCATGAGAGCCCAACAGAAGCGGCCTGAAAAGGGTCCAATGTTTAACCGTGAGCTCGCACCGCCTCGGCCTAGCCTGGTGCGGATGGTCATGAGCTGGGTCTCATGACGGTGGGGCCCAGGCTTTTCCGCGGAGCTCACACCAAACAGGACTTGCAAGGGGAAGTCCTAGGTCGAGCCTTGATCCGTGGGCTGTCCGTGGTCCATCGGGCGCCAATAGCAATGTACAGATATGTATAGTTCAATTTTTGACTGAAGCTCTGTGGCTCTGTGGGGACTGCTGCGACCAAGAATGAGGATGGAAAGTTTGGCTGCTGTTGCCTGTTCAGAGTTGGGGATTTAGTGTAGTTCCATGCAGCTCCCGTACCCAGCCGTTCCCGAGAAGTTTCCTCGAGCCACGTGCAGGTGGGATGGTTGTGTTTAGGCATCTTGGGGTGTAGAACTCAGGCTCAGCGGAGCACATCAGTACATCATTGCAGGAGGACAGCACTAATTGGATGCGAGTGTGAAATAGAAGAGCAACACAGGATCCTTCAAGAGTAGAGGGACGTAACTATGGCAGACAGCAGACATGCTGCTTGTAGCCAGCATCAGTCACTTCTGCATATCACGCGCCAGGTAGTAAGGGTACATGCTCTCCTAGTGAACCGACACACTACAAGGTGCCCAACCGGTCACCAAGTCCCAAACTTTAAGCCCCCCCCTGCCCCGGCAGGCCCAAAGTGTGCAGAGATTCATCGACTGGGCGCGCCAGTCGGCTGAAGACTTCCTGGAGGCTGCCCAGGGGTTCGCAACAGGAACCATCGTGCAAACGGCTCCCGGACGATTGAGCACTAGGAGTAGCAACTGCCAAGGCCTCATCATCTTCTCCCTTTGAATCCTTTTTCTTTTTGCTTCGAGGCCGAGTCGGCAGAGGATGTGGCCCAGCTGCTGGCCAGCCCTTGGCCACAGATGTTCAGCTTGAGGACATGTAGGGCCAAATGACTACATGGGGTTGAGGTGTTGTTGCGGGTAGCTCGTGGGCATGCTGCGCGTTGCCAGTACTCATGTGCTTGGGTGTTCCCGTTCAGGGGGTGCCGGGAAGCTTTGACGTGCAACGGCTTGTGAGTTCTTCGTCCTCATATCAATTGAGGAAACTCAGCCCAAACCGAAACTTTGCGATCCCCCCCCCACCCTCAACGACAAACCCAGCCTGGCAATGTGTTGGTTGTGCTTTGTTTGGGACATAATACGGCTCTCAGTACACACTCCATTCACAAGCATGCAAGAGTACTGCAACAAACGGCCGCTCCGCAACAGCCCGTTCCTGCAGTCTGGAGGTGCCGCAGAATACCGAATGAGGTCCTAGATTCAACATAGCTCCACCATGATCGCTTGCCCCTTCTTTTGTCCGCCCTCGATTCTATTCCCGTTGGTGCAATTCTGATTGCTTTCGCAAGACTAAGGCACCTATCGGCTGGTGGGAGTGTCAGTGATCGTTTGGCCGGGCGCCTGGTAAAGCCTCCAGGCAGCTTCTGGGTTTCTGTGGAGGTGCCGGAGGGCGAGGCTCTTGAGGGTCTTGTTATTGCGCAACTTGCGCTCGTCGTTGCATCGGCATCACTCATGTTACACGGATGCACCTGCGAGCAGACTTCTTTGATGCATCGAAGATTCATGTAAGTAATAAGCACACTATCATACGCCATCCCTTGCAATGCCTGCCATTCGAGTCCCGCTACGAGGCCGGTCCACTGCCTGTCCACCTATCCCTAAACCCAACTCTCCGAAACCCTGACACCTCGTGTGCGTAATCACCCCTGCGCGATCAACTTGAGGGTGTCCAGCGCAGATGCGGCACAAAGCCCATAAAGCCCTCAAACAACCCCTACACCCTAAAATCCTATCAGCCTATGAGCCCTCAAAGCCCGAAACGCAGAAGAAGACATTTGTTTTGGCATAATCGGAACCCTGTGCCAAGGCTCAGCTCGGTCTCCTGGGCCTGCCGCTGCCAGGCTCCATCGAGTGGGCAGGGTCTGGGGGGGGGGGGGAGATAGAATCTCTTTGCATCTCTTTGCTGTGTGTTGGAGGGCCTCTTGGGTCTAGGGTTGACATGAGTTTATAGGGCTTTGCATGGGGTTTATGGGGTTTATCGGGTTTTAGGGCCGGCGAGGGTGCAGGGCCTAAGGGTTTATGTCTTGTTGAGGGTCCATGGCGCACACCCCGCGGCCAAACAGCCGCACCAGACCGAACACTCGGATTCAACTTGACAAGGATCCGATCACAATAGCAAACCAGCCCCAGCACAGACTGTGGAAGAGTTCCCTGCACGGACAAGAATGCAGAACCACGCCCCGACATATTTTAAAAACAAGCCAGTTGTACGCAACCGCAGCCCGGGGGGCGGGGAATAATCACGTCATTCGTATGGCCATGCCCAGACACTGGAAGTTGCCTCGTTGTTGCATGGTTTTTGCCTCTCTGCACAACATACTGCACAAGGAGGTGGAGCAAGACACATTGTCACAAGTGTCCATGCCTTTGGCGAACATGCCCACAACGCTGGTATTTGCACACTTGGACCAAGACACAGGCGTTATGCGCTGTCACAAGCGTCCATGCCTTTGGCGAACATGCCCAACACACTGGTAGTTACAGTGTTTGGCTTCTTTACACAACATACTGGGCAAAGATGTTTCACGTTTCTGGAACCAGACACGCGGTCATACAACGTACAGCGCAAGCATTCTGCACTGTTTCCTTGCCACACCTAAAAAACCTTTCACCTCCCGATCATGCCCCGGGAGTTCCTCAAGTAGTTTTAACTTTCGACACTCCTTCAGTCCCACTCCCCACCCCCCCCCTCTTACCCGATTGGCCTTTGAGGATGCTAGAGGATTTAGGATGCTGGGCTTCGGGATGTTTAGGGTAGAACATAGTTGGCGAGTTCCTTTTGTGATGCTCTTCTTGCGAGAGTCGCTCCTTTGAGTCTTCAACATTGCATGTGACATCCAGAGGGTATGTTAAGGAGTGACATCCTTTTGACGCGCCCATTCTCCCAGCAAACGTCAAAGGGACGACCCTACTCTGCTACAGTTCATTTTGGAAGAGTTGGGCCTCCTAAAGTTGTCGGCGGTCTGCATTCCTGTGTGTGTTTTTTCTGACTGCTTGGGTGTATGCTTGGAGTTAAGATTACGGCTGCAAGGAAGAGAGCAGGGACCCTGACCAGCAGAGACCTTGAGAGGAAATCGAGGTAGGCGTGCAACAAAGCACCCCGTGCTTCGATGAGCCAAGCGAAGCCTCATACGCCCGAACACTCCCCAATGAGAGGTGCGGCGGTCAGACCTGAAGACAGCGCTGGCCAGTCTCACCAAGGCCTGTCCACATTTCCTCGGTTGCGTGTTGCACGATGTTGCACGGTTTAGGACTATGAGTCCCTAAGCGAAGGCCTTATGCATATCTCGTCGCCTCGCAAATAGCTCTAGCATCTTCAGTCTTCAGGTTCAGCTAGTGAGCTGATTAGGTTTGAAGTTGGCACCGGCGCTTGAACGTGGCTGACACCTGGAGTTTTTTTTGTGCTGCAATTTAGGATCCCAAAAGGCCCGAAGCCACCGCCTCAAGAAAGCCAAGCCCTCTCTTCCCTCGCAGTTCAACCCTAATGGCCTTGATCAAAGCCTTAACCTTTTGAACCTTATAAAGCCTTAACCCTTCTACATCATGATGAAACATTCCTACCTTTTGAAAATACAAAACTATCCACAAGTTGTGATGCTCTTTTTGCTCTTACTATTACTACTTATTGTATGATATACATATATATATATATTTATAACTTATAGTTATACTTATATTTATACTTATACTTATGTATAAGTATGTTTGTGGTTTTTAATTTCACCAGGCAGGCCTCCTACGCAACAGTTCTCCTCCTGAGCCTCCCGTGCGGATGCCGGGCTGCGACGTGCGTGGCGTGATTGGGGGGTTCAACGTTCTAAGGCTTCAGAAGTTGGGGGGTTTAGGGTTTTAGGGTTTTAGGGCTTCAGGGTTTTAGGGTTTTAGGGTTTAGGGTTTTAGGGTATTAGGGTTTTAGGGTTGTAGGGAGGAGGCTTCAAAAATTTCTTTCGGAGATGTGCACTGAACTTGGCGGCGGCGAGCCGAATCCAAGGAGTCTTGCAAAGGGCTTCTGCGACCTGCTCGAGGAGGTGGGAAGTAGCCCCTTCACTCAGTTCCTTTTGCAGTGCTTACATTTGGGGCATGGGCGCTGGTGCAATCCCGGATGAAGTTCTAGTAGTGTGCTGCAAAAGAAACCGTCTCTCAGCACATTCCAGGGCGAAATGTTCGGGGACATGTGCAGAGGCGCGCGTGTTGCTTGGTTTCTGTAATTTGTTCTCTGCGCTTCCCCAAAATTCCCCCAATTTTCGCCTTTTCTCGCGAGGCACACCCGACTCCAGAGAGGCCGGCCGAAAGCCCTCTCTTTTTGTGCCGCACGCGTTGAGGAGCCTTCTTGAAGTTATCTCCTGAGCGATTTTCTTTGCGTGAAGGGTCCTTTCTCTCCCGAGTTCATTTTGCAGGCCGGTCGCCAAGATCTGACCGATGGCCCAGTACCTGCTGGCTGATCCGAAAATGAAAAAGCTACCTCCGAGAAGCTGAAACCAGGTTTTTTTGTGATTGTGATTCCTTCCATTGCGGCACGAGAAGGCCCAGGCCCTCTGGACTCAACGCGGTTTGATGTAGTGGAAGGTGTTCGCACTTGCTGACACCCGCCCTTTTCCTCCTCTGTCCATTCTTCTGGGTTGGTCCCGATGTCCTAAGCAGAAGTTCAAGCCATGATGCTGCCATTTTATGGGTCTGGCTCGTCGCCATAAGTGCGGTTCGGTGATTGAAATTCGGCAGGCTGGGTCTGAGGACGCCAGTACGCCGCTGAAGCGCCGCATGACATGGTGGCCTCTGAGAGTGCCCGGCCAGTGCTGCAAATCACTACGACAACATCCGAAGGCGGGGGGGGGGGGTGTAGGTGACTAAAGAAGGCAGCCTGAACCGCAAGATGGCACTTGGGGAGTGTTGAATCGTTGACACCTGCAGGCCTGAGCTTGCCAAGACAGCAGACACTGGCAGACATGATCTCAGAGGAGGAGGATGGGTGCGAGAGGCGCGTTGCATCTGGAGCCGCGGGTTCCGCATCTACCCGCGCCTGCTTGCCAGGTTCCATATGACGAGCGATCAGCTGCCGTCAGGTTGGACAAAGATGCTTTGCTTGAGATGCAGAGGAGCCCCCAGTCCCCAAGCTCACCTGCTAGTACATCCACATACACTGGCATCTATACAGCCAGCAGCATCTAACAAAAGTATGACGCTCGGCTCCCCAGACCAAACTCTCCATGTCTAGGATTCCTTTGTTTGGCCCCAGCTCTGAAGCAATTGCCCTTCGCCTCAGCTTAAATTCTGCAGGTGACGAATCGCTTCAGCAGCTCATGCCGGCGCCTCCCGAGTTGCCTCCCGAAATGGGCCCGGCGTGCTTTGGTCGCACTTTCGAGAGCACGATATTATAGAGCGCGAAAGGTGAGCTGAGGCACAGGTGGCTACCGGTAGGCTCTATCAGGTCTATGATGGTCTATGTGAGCAGGTCTCTTCGGCATGCTGTCGTGAACGCTCAACTCCTAAGGCAGCACTATGAGCTGCTGTACCAAGTTTGGCAAGAACAGCAAGGGCTTCGCTCCTTTTTGGAAGAGAGGCTGCTCAGAGGGATGGGGACAGTTGTGAAGACTCACCATCTCAGGCTCCACACCTCATGCTTTTGCCTTTAAATGCTTCGCACGTCTCCAGGAAATGGAAGCTGCAGTTTGTTCGCAATCCGAATTTCAAATGATCTATAGCGGAGGATAGCAAGGCCGGAAGAACCTGACCACATCCGGTGCATGAGAGCCACCATCCGAGCCTGCAGCCCCAAACCCACTGTCAGAGAAAGGCACTTCAAGGCTTCAAAGAATGGCTCCCACTCTTCTGAAGACTCTGAAGACGTAGCCATGACTAAAAAATAACCCCGAGGGGCCCGGAGGGGGGGGGGGGTGCACTTAGGGGGCACTTGGTGGCGGGTGGCGCTCGAGATTTCCATACAATTCTAAGACGCAAGACGCCGGTCGGCCAATGGAGAATGCAGTTGAACCTTTCTGTCTTCATGATTCATGCTACTGGAAAACACTCCCGCAAGAAACCTCTGAGGCTAGAAGCAATCAGGCGAGAAATCAGCGACCTGTCAAAGCGAGACGTATGCGCCGGCAAGCTGAAGGCAACGGACTGTTCACAATGCAGACACGTATGATGCTGCATGACCGTGTATCCCGCAAAGTCTGCCCGTTTCTAGGTCGAAAAGCGGCCTTCTGAAGGCCGGCTTGGGTCTGGGTGACCTAGGACTCTAAGACGGGGATTTCTGTGGGGGAGGTGGAGCTCCGCCCTCAGCCCTCAGCCCTGACTCAGCCCTGAGGAGTCGGTGCAGGTTTGGAAGGTCTGGAGCGTGAGCTGGGGGAAAGGGCCAGGAAGCAACTGGGCAGCAAGGCACAGATTCCCGAAATCCTTGGCATTTTTGTGACCTTTCAGGGCCCGCCCTGCTTGGCAGTGCAGATTGCCCTCCGACAAAAGCACACGATCGTGTCGATTGTGAATCTGCGCTGCGTGAAACATTGCCAGTCCACGTGCGTCCAGTCCACGTGCGTCGAGCAGGCCCTCTCAACTTCCAGGACGGCTTGTCAGGCAGCTGCGGCAAATTGCTCACGCTCCTCGCCCACTGAAGTCGCTGTGGCTTCTTTTAACTGTGCCAGAAAAGTCGTCGCCGGGATCTGCGATGAAACTGGTGTGCCTTTGCAGAGGTGGAGTGCTTCTGGATAGATGCACCGCAATGGGTGGGCTGCTTTTCTTGGAGGATTGGGGGGCCATCCAATCTGTAGCCGGGCGAAACACTGGTGCTGTCAAGTACAAGCTGGGATCCATGCAGCAACGGGAGTTCCGCTCGAAGCGGTGCTGGTCGGCGACGGACGTATCGACGGATAGGATGGACCCCTAATTCAGAGGCGTATGCCATTTCCACCGCGTCGGCCAATGTCCTAGTGACATGGTTTGAGTATGTCGACGCTTGGATACCAACCAGCGGGTGTGTGCGCCAGTTCAGTCGGGCGAGGCCAGACCAGGCTTCACGCTTGCACAGTCCCGCACCAAGATGCGGCTCTGCCTTGAGATGCGCATCCAGCCCGGCCAGCGTTGCGGGAAAGACCGGCCTTCAGGACACTCTTTGCGGAGCTTGCTGCTGCCCTGCGCCGTGCCTGATATTGCGAATAAGTCGAAGTTGGTGCATTGGCCGGGGGCAGATGGGCTCGAGCCGGCTACAGCACAGACATCCGCGCTTCTGCCGAACACTCCGTTGCCGGTCTCTGCAGCAGTGCTGGTGCCAGGGCACAAAACTGTGTTGAGCTAGCACTGCCTGATCGTGGCCGGCAACGTGGCTTCCGGTGGGAGGGACCGGAGTGCCCGCTGAAGATATTCCAACTTGTGCGCATGGCCATCAGACGACGGGCGAACTCGATCGAGGCCAGCGCAGAGGGCGCTTCGCAGCACGCCACGCAGAGATTCGGGGGGCGATTGCAGCGCAAGGACGCGCGCAAGTCTCCTCAAAGCTGATCCCGCCGAGCGAGGCCAGGCCAGCACGGAACCCAGCCTCGGCTGCGACGACACCGCGCTCGCGCTGAGTGCCACTGGCGGGCGCGGTCGCAACTGCAACAGCGGGCTCATGCTGAACGCCTCCCGCCGAGGCCGCCGCGCCGCCATGCGACCTTCGCGACGGGAAAGCCCACGGCCGTTGCCCCTCCGACTCCTTCCGCGCCGCGCCGGCTCCTCCGAAGGCCAGCCCCCCGCTTCTGCGGCCTCAGCGGTCTGCGGTGAGCTCAGGCAGCGAATTGCCGGACATCAAAACCATCAACGGCATGCGGCAGGGCACGCCGCAGGAGCGCTTCGCGGTGCGTCAGCCCAGAATCCGCCACCCGATGGCGGTGAGCATCAGCTCGGGCGACGACGCGCCCCAGTTGCCGGCCGCGTCCGCGCCCACCTCCCCGCGCACGCTCAGCACCGGCAACGCGGCGGGCGGCAGCGAACGTGGAGTTAGCACCGTCAGTCCTTCGATCGATGCTCGTAGGGATTCCAACGAGGGATTCCTAGATAAAAGGCCTTCGGCCTTTTATCTAGGAAGACCGACCTAGAGTTTTCGAAAGCTTGCACAACAGATGACGTACGTAACAGATTCTATAGGACATGGGGTGATGGGCCAAAGGCCCATCATCCCCATTTCCATATAGAATCTGTGTTATAATTCTAGTGGTGTAGAGGCCTTCGGCCTCTACACCACTAGAATTATAACCCAGAGTTGGTAAAATATTCCTTGTGGAGTGTGCGCGCGTGTGTACATGTGTATGCGCGCGCACACAAGGCAGGCCTTGGGAATGGGAATGGGAAATAAATTTCCCATTCCCAAGGCCTGCCTGCCTGCACACATTGCGAGAGGCCATCGTGAAATATGAGGCCTAAAGGCCTCATTTTTCACGATGGCGTCTCGCAGGTTATTTTTGCAGAAAAACGCCAAAGTAGTTTTTGAGGAATTTGCACAAAAAAGAGGCCCATTTCGAGGTAAATGACCACCTCGAAATGGACCCACCAGTAGCAAACACCAAGCCAAGGACTAGCCAAGGCCATCGTGAAAGTACAGAAAGTACAATTTGTAGTGTGCAGAGTACTATTTTCCATTGAATCCATTGAAGACAACTACAAATATGTACTGATAAGTGGGCAAGGCCATCGTGATTTGTACAATTCCCATTGAATTCTATTCAAATCCATTGAACAGACCACTAAATGTAGTGGGCAGAGTACAATTTGCATTGAATTCTATTGAAAACAACAACAAAAGTAGAAGGCCTTACACCTCAGACCACTAAACAGAGGCCATATTTTCCAAAGACCAATATGAATGGACTAAAGACCAATATGAATGGACTTGATATGTTATTTTTTAATGAGGATTCTAACCTCTACACCAGACTTGTCTGGTGTATTGGCTTGTAAAAGCAAAAGTGAAAGGAGACTTTCACTTTTACAAGCCAATATTGTTGGCGACAAGCCAACATTACCATTTCGACAACACATTTGTGCCATCAAAACCAGTCCTACAACAGCAGATGTGCCACCACATGGACCGTGGGTACCTCTTTGTCAAATATTTGACAAGAAATATTCCATCAACACAACAACATACCATAAAGTGGTGGATATTTTGTAACATCCATACCTGCTAGCAGATATTTTAGGACCATTTATCCTGTTGACAACACAACATACCCTTTCATGCATGTGGGATGTACCACAGCTACCCCTTTGATGCATGTGAGATGTACCACAGTATGTGGCATGGGGATTGGGAAATGGAATTTAAATTATTGGGAAATGGAATTTAAATTCCATTTCCATTTCCCAATCCCTTAAATCCTATCAACACCACTTCCACCACCAAGTGGTGGAAATAATGTGACACGTATACCTGCTAGATGGACGAATATTCGACCAACAACAAGTATTACCATGGGGTGCAAGTAGCATGTCCCATCTTTACCTGCTATTTGGAGACCAGAAATCCTAATGGTAGTCTCCATTCCCATCTGGAGCAAGTGGGATGTACCTCCAGTACCCTGTTTTTAGAGCTGAGATAAGCATAAATGCTCTCAGAATAGCTATTCCCATTTGGTGCATCTGACATGTACCACAAATACTGGTGCAGGGGTTGTGGGCGCTCCCTCGCACAACACGGCCCATGTCGGCACGTCGAGGCCGAGCGATCGCAACTGCCCGGCCGCCTGCTGGGCCTCCCTGGCGCTGGGCGCGACATCGGGCCTCCTCCGCCAGCATCGGCCGCATCAACTCAGCCTTTACTTACGCAGTGAACGTCGCCGCCCGCGCGCAAGCCCCGCAAGTAGCGCTGGACGCCATGGCCCTTTCGCGGCTGACTGCCCGAAATGTTCCGCGGCATCGCCACAGGGGACGTGTTTCGGCGCCTCGTCTCCAGAGCAATCAAACGCGCGTTCAGTGGGGAGCTTGATGCAGCCACCCGGCCGTTTCATGCCGTTTCAGTTTGTGCTGCAGACTCGTGCCGGTACCGACAGCTTGGCGGTGATGCTTCGTGCGGCTGTTGAACTCGACCCGCAGGCCACGGTCGTCTCTCTGGATGGGCGCAGCGCTTACGACACCATCAGCCGCGCGACCATACTTGCCAAACTGCGCAACACAGTCCCGGCGCTCGTGCCCTTCGCCCGCGCCATGTACGCGCGTACCTCCACGTACCTGTGGTGGGACGACGAGGGGCGTGTGCACGAGATCGCGCAAGCTGAAGGCGTCGAGCAGGGCGACCCCCTGGCGCCGGGGTTTTACGCACTTGGCCAGCACGACTCGCTGGTGGCGGCGAGTGCTTCCCTGCAGCCCACGGAGCGCCTCGCCGCTTTCCTGGACGACCTCTACATCATCACTGGGCCGGACCGCGCAGCGCCGCTCCTGCGTGTTGTTACCGGTGAGGTCGAGCGAGGCGCGGGGGTCGAGGCAAACCTGGGCAAGACGCGAGTCTACAACCCGGCAGGCGGGGACGCCTCGCCCGGCATCGACCTGGGCCGGGACGTTTGGTGTGGCAACCTGCCCCCAGCGCAGCGTGGCTTCGTCGCCCTGGGAGTGCCCATCGGTCACCCCGACATCGTCGCCGCCCAGGCCGCTGACCGCCTTGCTGCCCAGGACGACTTGCTCCGGAAACTAGAGCGCCTCCCCGACCTCCAGAGCGCCTGGCTCGTGCTCGCTTTCTGCGCGGCGCCCCTGCAGACATACTGCCGTACGCTCGCGCTCACGACGATGCGGTCTGGGCCGTGGTTCAAGGTTTGCTGGGAGACCAGGGACCCGGCCAGCTTACTGCGGAGGGCTGGGGGAGCTGACCCGACTAATCTTGCGCCCGAGGCGCTGACGTCCCAGCGGCTGAGGGTGAACTCGGCCTCGGAAGCCCAGGTTGGCAGCGACATGCCGTTCTCGCACTTCACACTTCCTGTCGAGAACGCACGTTGCTTCCGGCCTTGGCTCCTGCCGCTCGAACCCTCCTCCACTTTCAATCCGGTCCGCATGCCGGTATGTGGCTAGCCATGCACGTCGCAATGCGGCGCCGCCTTCGCTTGCCCCTGCCCCTCACGGACCTGCGGAAGGCCGAATGGGGACCACCACCTCGCCTGCCCCCGCACGGGTCTGCTGCCTCGACGCGGATTCGTCGTGGAGAGGGCGTGGATCCAGGTCGCTCGCGAGGCAGTCGGTCCTGAGGGTCGTGCCGCAGCAGTGGCTGTCGCGCACCACAGCAGCGCACGTCCGTGCCGACGACCGTCGCCGCCTCGACTTCGTTGTCTACGGGGCAACGACCAATGGCGAGGCCTTGTGCTGCGACGCAACGCTCGTCTCCCCACTCACTCGGACTGGTCGGCCC